TGATCTTGTTATTTATAATGAATAACCTTTTAAAAATTGTATGTTATTAAAAGAGAAAAAATATTAAAACTATATTTATAATAATCACCTAATTTTTGGGTAAGTACATTTATAATAGCTTTTCCAGTAAGTTCTCTTCTCGCCTGTCCAAGTTGGGTCAAACTTTCAATTTCATCACCTGCATAGATTTGTTTATGAATAACTGGTTTGAAAAAATAATATTTATTAATACATTCGTATTTATTTTGTCATTTTAAAATTTAACGCCTCAATGAGTACTAACAGAGTGGGAAGAAACGTGAATAGATATAGTTATTAAAATATCAGGTTCATTGATATAGCCTAAAAGGGGTGTTTAAATAGAATAGAGCTTTGCGTTGGTCTAAAGATCAGTCAAGGTAAGAAGCTAAGGAAAATGCGGGAAGCATTGTATTCGTAAAGAGGTTGCTGTATTTTTATGACAAAAGTACTAAAAGTGTATTCTGTATTTACTCAATTCTTATATGGACGTTTGTTTGGTAAGGGTGCCAAATGACTACTTCATAATCGAGAACTCTTAAAAGAATTCTTCCCAACTTCAAGTTTACTTAATTAAAATTATTGAGAGAACAAAAGTATATATAAAGCAAATTTTATCATTTAAAAAAGCCAAAAGTTCTATATACTACTAACTTATCATACTTCCTATTTTATTGTACTTCATATATTGTACTTTGTATGCGATATTTTCAAAATAAAACATAAATACAAATATATTAACACTTTTATTTAATAACCAGGTTATATATAAATTATAGGTTCTATTAATGCCCCTGATATTTTAATCACCATATCTTTTCACGTTTCCTTCCACTCTACTTGTACTCATTAGGGCGTTACATTTTAAAGTATAAAAAAAAATACGAACATATTAATAAATATTATATTTTTAAACCAGTTTTTGATACTTATATTTATGCAGGTATTAAAATTTTAGCATTAATTAATTGGAACTGTAATGGATAAATATAACAAACTGCTTTAACTATATAATTTGTACAAAATCTTTTCGCGTTTCTTCCTACTCATTTAATACTAATATCCTATTCCAAGTTCTTGCTCTCACTCCCTCCATTGCCCGCAACCATTCTATCCATAGAAAAGTCTGAACAATCAATAACTTAGTTTTAAAATGAATTTCCTAAAGTGAATATTGTTTTGTATCTATAAATTTAAATCATAATTACCCAGCCAACAAAAAAATTCAAAACTCCTGAATATATTATAATCGATTTTCACTACTCAAAGGGCTACCCATCAATTAAAGTATTTAAAGTTCAACCATTTATTTTTAAATAAATTTTCGGGCTTATGTTTAAGAAAGTTTAAAAATATCATAGTTTGATGAATTGTAGAATTAATGTCATTGTTAAATCATTGTCATTAAAAACAAAAAAATTTCATTAGATTTGTCCGCTAATATCAATTACATTTTGAGCATAATATCAAAAATTTACTAAACGTTAATTTAGATTTTATATATAGGTTTTGAAAAAAAAAACAAAGACTTACAAAATATAATATGTGTACGATATTCAATTGATAGAATAACATAAACACTACAATGTGAATCTGTGGATAGTAGGGTCAAACCAGTATAGTCCAAACACAGTAAGAAAGTATTATATGTGAGTGAGTATTACCTAGTAGTAGTATTTCATTAGATTGGTCCTCTTACATCAATACCTTATAGAGTACATTATTAAAAAAACGTTCATTTAGATTTTATTTTTATGTTTTAGAGAAAAATAACGGATGTTCACAGATAAAAAATACATATGTCAATATACAAATATCAACAAAAACATTGTACCTAATGACAATTATGTGCTTAAAAATATTTTGTTGTATTAGGGTAGACACGATAAGGTTGATCGCCATAATATCAATAATAATTCGCAACAAATGTGTTTAAAATCGTGAACAAAAGCGTTTATTTTATAATTTATTTATTTTATTTTGCATATAACAATCGACTGATAATTATAATGATAACAATGGCAATACTAATAATAGTGAAACATCAATACTACATAATAATAACAATAAATAAATATATATCAAATAAACTAATTTAGTGCAATAAGCAAACATTAATTATTTATATATATATATAATTTTAAAAGATATAAACGTTTGATTTCTATTAATTTTGGCTACTTAACTGAAGCGGAGTACTGATATCTTTACGTAGTTGTACATTTAGTTCTTTTTTTGTAATATCAATGTCAAAGGCATTTACTTGCCAATATTCGCCTTGAAACGATCTGTATTTTACAACAAGTTCGTCTTTACCCTCTTTTAGTACTACTACACATACATCATCATTGTGTTCTAAATAATAATACGTGTTTGAAGACATTTTTAGACTAACCCACATTGCTATCAAAATACAAATCCTATGAACAGAATGCTCCTTGTCAACTTCATCAATCGAGGTGTTTTCAGCTAAAAAATCAAAAAACAGTTGTTAAAAATAACCAAATTAAACCTATAAGCCACTGCATTCCTTTCAGTGTAAGACATAATTACTAAACGTAAATACAACAAGTTAAACAAATATATTTACTATGTATAATAGTAAAAATCTCAGCTTTCTGAAAAAATTATAAGTTTTTACAGTCAATAAAAATGAGCTTATAATTTATAAATATGTTTTTTTTTGTTGCCCAAAATTTAAGAATTTTCTTTAGAAAGCTGAAAAATTGTACATTTAATGTGTAATCAGGATACTTCTTGTCAACCGAGGTGATATAAGCTAAAAAAACACAATACAGTTGTTAAAAATTGCCAAAATTAACAATTATTAGCCACTATTTTTCTTATTTGTGCAATTGATGCTAATTAATTTGACACAATTATTAAACGTAAATGAAATAAGTAATACAATTATATAAAACATGTATAAATGTAAAAAATCTCAGAATTAAAAAAAAAATATACTTTTTTTTGTATTAATAGTTATTAAAAATGAGTTGGTAATTTATAAAGGTAAATTTTTTGTGTTGTCCAAAATTTTAAAATTATTAAAATTTTTTTTTAGAAAGCTGAAAAATTTTACATATGAAAATTTCAAACAGGGGTCACTATAAACACGATAAGAAAAAAAAAGAGCTGAAATTTTAAATTTTATAATAAATATTGAGTATATTTGTAGAAATTATAAAAAAAACAAAAAATTAAATTTTTTTAAGTTGTGTTAAGTAGTCTATAAAATACTGTGTTATTTAAAATGAATCATGCTGTAAAAATAAATGTTATTAAATAATAAATAATATTAAATCTTTTTATTTATAATCACCTAATTTTTTGGTAAGCACATTTATAATAGCATCTCCAGTAAGACCTCTTCTCGCCTTTCCAAGTTCGGTCAATTTTAAAGTTTCAGTATCTGCATAAGTGTATAAATAGCTGGTTTGAAAATATAATATTTATTAATATAATCGTATGTATTTTGATTTTTTTAATTTAACACCCTAATAAGTACAATCAGAGTGGGAAGGAACGCAAAAAATTATGGTAATTATTAGTTTCGGTACCTGCATAAATATTTATATGAAAAACTGGTTTGAAAAGATTAATAGTTTCGTAATTATTTGTTTTATTTTTAAAATTTAATGCCCTAATTAGTACAATCAGAGGAAAGGAACGAACAACAATTTGATAACTGGAATATCAGGATGAAGCCTAAAATTGATGGAGCCTAGAAGGGGTGAACAAATAAAATAGAGATAAGATTTTATTAAAAAGGCGCGTATGTTGAAAATGTATTATGTATTCGTTCCATTTTTATCTGGTTCTAAGTTTGGTAAGGTTGCAAAAATTACTATTTCATTCTAGAACCCTTAAAACAAGTCTCCCCAACTTATAGTAAATTGTTATGCGAACAACATAATAAAATATAAAGTAAATTTTATCTTTCAAATAAGCCATAAGTTCTGATTACTACTAACTAGTAGCTTTGTAAATTCGATTGTATTCATCATCATGCACAGTACTACCTGTAACATAATTTCCTATAACAAATAAATTATATAGTTAGTCAAACCGTGATGTTGTATGTACCCATAGTAGTAACTCTAAAAATGAGAATCATTTGACCAATTAATGAATGCAAAGTATAATATTAACACAAAACCTATGACTTTTAAAGCCTTTTTAGCTACCGCGTTTAAGTGATCTCTAAAATGTAGAGAAGGCGTACATAGGGTGTTAAGATCATTAATAGAAAAAACTCGATAAAGTTGAAGACCATGAAGAAAGAAATCGTGCAGCAGCGGAATACGGTTCCAGGAAAATGACAAAATATGACATTTTTCAACATACAGTGCCAGACCATGGAGATGAGCCAAATACAGAAAAAACCTAAGTTTAATATGTAGTAGGCAACCATCCACTGATAAGGTAATACTAAAAAAATGTTTATGTCGTAATACAAGGATCAGAAACCGCTTCTTGAGCATAAGTGTATTCATAAAAATTGATACACGCCGATCAAAATAATACCCTAATTATAATAGTGGTAAAATGTTATTAAGGCTCCCCAACTAAAATTTAACTTTTTAGTTATTATTGTGTGAACAAAAGAATTTGATAAGCAAATTGTATCTTTCAAACAAGCAATATTATATATTTACTACCATCTTTGTAAATGCTATTGTTTTCATCAGCATGCGCAGGAGTACCTGTAAAATAAATAGTAAAACATTTTTTAGTTAACTAAACCCGGTCTATTGTATTTATTCATCTCAGTTTCAATTAATCAATGCCAAATATAGTGTTGATTTTAAGTCGATAAGGCACATTCCCCCCTCCGCTCAAGAAATAAGTTAAAATATATGTGTAATACTGTTACACAAAAAAATTTAATTATCTCTAAAAAAAACCCACAAATTATCAATATAGTACAAATAAACTGTTATGTAAAAAGTAATACTTTAAAATTGTATATTTATATTTACAAAATTTTCCAAGTTTTTTTTTAAGACATATAAATGCCTTATTAAATGTTGTCCTTTTCGAAATTCCATTACCTGCATAAATTTATATATAAACTGGTTTATAATACAGTATTTAATAATATGTATGTTTTATTTTGACATCTAAATCACTAATACGCATTTTCTTCACAAATGTACAAAAGTATCTCATACAAAGAACAATATACAAGTGCAATAGTCAGTCAAACAATAATATCTTAAACGATGAACAAAAATTTATATAAAGAAAACTATATCATTCAATCAAGTCATAACTTCTATAGTTTATAACTAACGAACGACTTTGTCATTAAGAATAACTGTAACAAAAATATAAAATAATTATACAGATAATCTAATCCGTTTGTTTTATTTATCCATAACAGTCACTCTAAAAATCAGATTAATTTGACCAATCAATTAATTCAAAGTATAGTATTAGCATTAAGCCGATGGCTCTTAAGATCCTGATAGCTACCCCATGTATACACAAAATATAGCGGAGGCCAAGATCTTTAATAGAAAAAACTCGTTTCAGTGGAATACTACGAAGTACATAAACCATGTAGAAGAGAATTATAGCTCCTGAAAAATTCCATAATAAACAAGGAGATGAGCACAGTCAAGAAATCAAATAACTTCAGCTTGTAGGTTTCAATAAACCGCAGAAAAAGCAATACTTATGAAAATATATAACATGTCGTCTACAAAAAAAAAGAACTTCTTGTGTTTGCAAAAGTCTCTCTAATGAGCCAACGAAATAAAGAGGACTAATGTGATCCCATTGATAGACGCTTGAGGAGATAGTGCATTGTTTCCTATCGGAAAGGTAAGATGTGAGGGGTTTCCAATGTCAATTATTAGCGTAGAGTACAATGATAAATGAAGCGTTATTAGTGCTATGAGTGCTATGACTCAACCAGCTCTTGATAGTATATCAAACAACAAGAACTAGTATCGTATTATGTCTGTCGAGTCATTAGTATTTGTTAACATAAAACGTCAACAATCTATTACGTTAAAATGGTATTTTGTGGTAAAATGTTAAAAATTGATAAACGCTGTTCCAAAAATTACTCTAAATATAATAGTTGTTAAAATTATTATAACAGTAAGTCTCCCCAACTAAACTTTACTAAATTGTTTGTAATTAACTTTGTAATTACTTTTGGTTGTATCAGCAGGCATAGGAGTACCTGTAAAAATAATTTAAAAAATAATTTAGTTATTCGAACTCGGTTTGCTGTATTTATCCATAACAGTTTCAATTAAAATGAGATAACTTTGACCAAACAGTAAATTATGTGTTTTTAAAATATACATAATTGTCAATAATGTGTAAAAAAAATAATGTATAAAGAAAATTTGATCGTTCAATCAATTCATAAGTTCTTTTTACTACTAATTAATAACTTTGTAAATACCTAGGTTATCATCATCAGCCGCCGGAATACCTGTAAATTAAGAAAAAAAAAGTTTATTAGGTAATTAAACCCGGTTTGATGAATTTATCCACAACAGTCACTCTAAAAAAAAACTAAGTTAGACGAACTAATCGAAGCTAAACTTATTAATAATATAAAATAACTCTCTAACAACGTTTGAATGAATACCTTCATCACTCTAAATTTTATAATTATCTATCTTTTTATGTTTATTATTTTGTCTATTCTTTTTAGTTAGCTACCAAATTTAAGTGTTTTAAAAATTACTTTTATGGTCAATATTGTGTAAACAAAAAATATAAAAAGAAAATTTTATCAATCAAGCAAGTAATACGCCTTTTATACTACTAACGAATATCTTTGTAAATATTATTGTTTTCATAATCTTGCGGTGTACAATCTATAACAAAAAAGCAAATCAGGTATATAGTTAATGAAACCCGGTTTGTTGTATTTATTCATAACAGTTTCAATTAATAAAACAAAAAAAAATTTAATTTCTCTAAAAATAAATTGATTGTGTTAACCATATAGAATTATCCTGTAATAATTATTATCTTTCAATTTGTATTTTTATATTTACCTAATATACTAAGTTTTTTAGAAAACACAAATTAATGTATAAAGAAATCTTGATCGTTCAAACAAATCATAAGTTCTTTTTACTACTAATGAATAACTTTGTAATTACTTTGGTTTTCATCATCAGCCGCCGGAATACCTGTAAAAATAATTTAGTTATTCAAACTCAGTTTGATGTATTTATCCATAAGTCAATGCAAAATATTTTATTATCATAAAATTTATCTTTAGCAAGTAGTAACGTTTGAAATAATACTTACTTCACAATGAATTTAATAATAATCAAATTTGTTATCTGTATTAATTCTGTCTTCCACAACATTTTTGGTGACCTATTATTCCTTGATGAACCTAATTATATTCAGTACACTTCGAAATTGTTTAAAAATGTGTTTGAAAAACCTAAGATATGTAATAATCTAATATTTTTGTAGTTTGCTTACATTTACGTTTTAAGAGGATTATTGGCCTTAGAATGTTGTTTATTAAAAAACTGATAATTTTATATTCACCTATTATCTCAAAAATTTCCCATTGCAATCTATCTTCTTCTGTCATTATGGAATCTAAATTTGAAAATAAAACCAATATTTTACAATATATAATTCTTTGTATTATACTAAAGTGTTAATTATTTACGTTGTAGGACGTCAAAATTGTGAGTTTCTGCATGTTCTGAAATTAAAGCGAAAAATGTATATACTTATTAATTATCAAGCGACTGTGTGAAAATATGTTAATAAAGTATTACCCGGTACAGTGAACATTTGATTTAAATATACTGAAAATAGCAATAAAAAAATTGTTGGTATTGAATTTAATACTCTATTTTATCATAATCTAGAGTAGAAAAGCTAAGAAAAAATAATATGTGTGTTGAAATTCGAAATAAAATGGCTAGCTCTATAATATTAAATAAGTTTGAAACCTTATGAAATGACAATGGCAGTATTGAATCACATGAGGGAATAGAATAAGACGAAATAAGATTATTATCACTGAACATTAGCCTTAACCTTTTCACTGTCTTAGACGTGCTACTTTGCTACAATCAATTAATTACGAAACCTTTTTCAGTATGGCGATAGTTGTGACATGTAGCAGTGTGTAAAACACAGTGGCAGTGAAAGGGTCAAAGATATATTTTTGTTGTTTTTTCTGTAGGTACATTTCTTCTATAACCAAGATTTTTAATATCACATAATTATTATTACTCATTGCATAGTGATCTTTATCTATCATGACTGTAAGTACATGCTCCAATCCATCTAGAACAAACAAATACAAGTTTGACGTTTAGAAAAGTTCCAAATAAAATCAAAATTAATAAAAAAAAATCATTAGAAACAATTACACCATGCATTAGGCAACTACCCCTGTTAGGGTAAATAGTCAATTTTTAGAGTCAAGTGTGCTCATAGTAAATTATAGTAACTATTAGTAAAAGCTCGTGCCCACATGCGACAGTGCACAGATCCAATGAAAAATATAAAACTACCACATTTTGAAGATGCCACTCCCCCCACGTATTAAGAAGTTTTGTGCTGCCAATTTTTTACAAAATATTAAATTAAAGACAATTTTAAGTTTCATAACTTTTAGGTAATAAAGGTAACTCATTTGTAAGACAATATTTGGAGGCGCTGTATCGTGAAAGCCAAACTCGTATTATTATAACATAAATTTGCATGGGCGGCATCCTCTTAAATATAAAAATAAATTTATATTTTATTTACAAGTAATTTGACACCTAGGCAATCATTGTAATACAATTATATATTAGTACATTGATTATTATCTTACTTTCTATATGATCATCTTTATATTCAGAAGCTTTCTTGATTTGTATGTCTGTAGTAAATGTTTTAAAAAAAATAGGTATGTATAAAATTAGTGAAATTTAAAAACTCTTAAAGTTAGTCTATATGATTATAAAATATAACTCACTTGAAATTTCAACCATCTCTATAAAGTTCACTGTAAAGAATAGTTAAATATTAATTTTTTTTAGATTTTCATCTAAATTGTGTGCTTAAGTATAAAAAAAATACTTACTTATACTTATATCTGCCAAAACATTTACGCAGATTAATGATATTAAAACATAGGAAATTTTCATTTTTATCTAGAAAAATTAATAAATTTAAATGCAATTTATATAAGGCTCGGGTCTTCCGGAGTAGTCGAGATGAGAAAGTTTTGGTTTTAAAATTTTTTTTTTACAAAGGACTCTAAAGGTAGAATTTATTATTAGAAAATAAGTGTAACATTAAAACTAAAATGATTGAGTTACTTAATCGTTACATACTTATAATTCCTAATATTTGTATAAATTGTAAATTCTTATTTATAGATAAGAAATTAAATATCACTATAAATTCTTTAATAAAAAAATGGAATAATCATCTACGATTTAAGACTGTAAAAAACAAAAAGTTAAAAAAAATAATGAGTTTATAATAAAGTTTATATACAGTTATTAATTTACAAATGTATTTCTGAAACACACTATAAAATAATTTAAAAACACAAAATCATAGAAACTAATATAACTTATAACGTGTAATGTATAATATTTGATCATCGACATAATATTTAGTAATACGTTTGTAATTTGTATCGTTGTATTTGATAATTATCAAAATGTGTTATCATAATATTTACTATTTTGTTAGCGCCCGGTCTAAGATGTATAGGCAACCACTATGATTTAAGGGGGCATACTTTTGTCGCGATTTCTTATTATTGACTGTCCCGTATTGTAATGTATAGTATTTATTTTTACTTTGGAACACAACTAACCGGAAAAATCGACACCGACATCGAAAATGTATCTTTATATATCTGTAACGACTGTGAATAAATGTGTAAGTTGAATGTTGGTCAAATTTTACTATGTACATTAGGATGTAGTCCGAGGCGTTAGCACACCTTGAATAAATGTCTAATTCGATGGACCATCAAATAAACCTTGAGAGAGATGTGAGTTATTGGTTAAGTAGCAATTTATGGCAGCTGGTCAAAGTTTAAAATTGCTTCCTTTTAAAATCACTGAAATCGACTTGCACACTTATTCACAGTTGTTACAGATATATCCTTCTATAACCTTATATATCCTTCTTATGAGGGTGGGGATAGGGATGAGGATAGGGATGGGGCTGGGAATGGTGGCGGGGATGTTCATTTTTTTAAATTATGTATTGTTTTCACAACGAAAAAGCTTGAATGAATGGTTAAATTGATTCAAAATAACCAAGTGAATGTTTTGCCAATAAATCGATTAAGGCCAATCACTAAAAAACGACTAAAAAACCTTTGGCTACAACATAAAATAATCATCAGCTACCTTTCGAGTACCGTGGCTATCATTGTTAAAAACTAAGTGTTTATTTTGGGTTAGCAACGAAAACAATTTCAAGTGATATCAAGGCGTACGCGGAACGAGAATTAAAAATGTGTCCCGTGGTGTTGGGGCAATTTGGCAAACTGTTAAAATATGATATGTAATACCTATGAGAAAACCTTTAATAGAGCCTTGCAAATTGCAAACATTTCATTTGTAAGATGTATTGTGTATATAAAAATCGGGTCTTTCGGAGTGGTCGAGATGAGAATGTTTTGGTTTTAAAATTGTTTTAGATGTGTTGTTTTTTTTTTTTATAGTTATCTTTTAAGACTACGTTTTACACTAAATTTCCCATTGCAAAACATGACAAAGCAAAATGCTTGTTACTCTCAGTCCATGTGGCTTTTATAGCAAACATTTTTATGATATAATCGAAAAAGAATAATGATTTGGATGAAACGTTCTTAGAAAATTTATATTTTAAATTAATAAAAGTACAAGATGAAAAATAGCTTAAACTTGAGGTGTATTTTAAAGATACAATTTTAAAAAAATGTCTCATCATAAATGCTCATTTAAATTTCAAAAACATTATGTTTGTCCATATTTCGGCAATACAGAAAAATAAACTTGTTAGTTTATTTACATATCTGTTTTTAGCATCGATGCCGAGCTAGTTAGAACACACCATTCTTATGGTGTGTGTTTTTTTTTTTGTATCTGCAAACACGATACCATGTGTGACTATGACCCAATTTTCATTAGATACTCGAAATTATATGTGATTGGGTCAAAAGTACAAAAAATCTAACGATCCGGCTTTTATTTGATATTCTAATAACTCTGTTAATGGTAATTATTTATTTTTTAATACTAATTTTAACTAGTGTTATTATATAATTGATACCACAGAATATGAACATTGGCTTGTGCTTATGTATTTAATTTTAGTCTAAATTTATTCGAAAAAATGCAAACCAGAGGTAATTTGTTCTGATATTATAATTTTTCAAAATTTATACTTATATGTTTAATAAATTAAAAATATGAGGTAAAAATAAAGCTTGAACTTTGAAATGTATTTTAAAAATATAAAATCATAAATTTTGCATAATGGACACAAATTTAAAATATAGATACATATTATGTTTGTATTTAAACGACAATTATTATATCTATTCAAACAATTTATCATAAACTAAGCAACAAAAAACTACGAAAAAATAGTTTTCTTAATTTAAAATTACAACTATATTCAACTTCTGCCGAGCTAGTATTCCTATGGTGTGTGTTTTTTTTTGTATCTGCAAACACGGTACCATGTTTGACTATGACCTGGTTTACTTTAGATATTCTTAGATGGATAGAAATCGAATGTGATTCGGTGACTTTGGTGGGTCAAAAGTTGAAAAAGTCAACATCTTCACCCCCAGAACCACAAAATCCCTAAAAAATATATTGTCAGTCAATTTTTAACTTTCTATAACATAGCGAAAAGCTATCGAATTGAGTCAAAATTGTAATATAATGTTTTTCTGGCATGCTTGTACTCACAAATATCCTCAAATCCAAATTTCAATTATTTTTCACTTTCCGAAGGATTAAATTTAAAAAAATGGTATTTGGTTTTAAATTGATGAAAACATTATAAAGAAACATGGATGCAAATGTTTAGTATACTAAATATAGAATATTGTTTTTAAATTATTCTTAGATAAACGTATTTAAAGTTCACCCATATTTGTTTAAAAGCGTACTTACAACTTTTGAAGTCTGATAGTATTACTTACTTATGATCTTGATGTATAATGAAATAGGACAAGTGGATTATATGTAATTGAATGTCTATATGCGTAAAAAATTAGAAAATTAGAAAAATATTTTGAAAGTGTACAATTTTACTACTTTTGAAGTTTTGAGAATATTCCTTACTTAAACAATATCAACGATAGTTAAACCCGACTGCTTTAAGGTTTTGGTAACGACTTTTCGAATAGAATCTGTTATGTCGAGCAATACAGTGCAATGTAAATATGTTTTTCAAAACTGTTTATGCGAATTTATTAACATAAGCAGCATATTCTTATTTTGATAACTAACATATTTACATTATTTAGAGGAGTTTAAATTTTTACTAGCCTGCTATTGAATTTACAAAAACAACAGCAATCGTAGAGGCGATGAGGCATATTACACACGGTGAGTATTAGAATATATGAATCACTTTATTTTCAGTACATATTTTTTATAAACGTGTTATTTGATTTATAGGTTTCTCGGGTAAAAAACAATACTATACATATATATATATATATTTATATACATACGTATATTGTTCATCGCTATCTATTGGAAATATGTATATAAAATATATATACAGGGTGTAATGTAAAGTTCTACCGAGCTTCAAATGAGACATTCAGGATGCTCTATGGTACAATAAATGGTATTCATTTTTTTTGTATTTTAAAATTAAATGTTTAAAATAAAACTCGTATCTCATTAAAAAATTGTCTTACAAAAAAATTATTTTAGGTTTGAAATCGGTAGCAAAAATCTTGTTGAATTAATATGTAACGTGACTTTTTGGTATCTGGCCACACATACGTCCACAGGGTGGCCACTGAGTGGCCGCCATGTGACGTAAACCAACATATGGCACATGCGGCAGATAATTTAATATAAAATAATTCTAAGGAAGCCTCTGAATTGAGAATAAAATTCAAACTGATAATGATGTGTCACTTGCCATATGTTGGTTTCGGTCACATGCCGGCCACTCAGTGGCCACTCGGTGGACGCAAATGTGGCCAGGTACCAAAATAATAAATTCCGAAAAAATTTTTTTCGTATGACTATTTTTTTAATGAGATGCGAGTTCTATTTTAATTAATTTTTAAATAAAAAAAAAATGACTACCATTTATTGTACTCAATGTCTCATTTCAAGCTCGGTAGAACTTTATATTATACCCTGTATATATTAGGGAACTTTGCATTAACATATATTATGTGTTCAGTGTTCCAACCATGTTAGAGTTAAAATATATGTATATTCTAAGACTACGCCACAACAAGTGCTACAAGTTATACACTACAATGCTAAAAATCAATTCAAACCGAAGCTGAATATATTTAAATATACATAAACATTTAGCACAGTAGACTCCGCTTTTTGGACTCACCGTTAATCTACAGTATTATAATAATAATTACAGGTTGATCCATCTCGTTTAAACACTTATTTTCTTGAAAAATATTAAATTTTTAAAAATTATTTTTTCTCATACTTGCATGTACATATTTTACTATATTTTTCAATACATTGACTATTTTTTTTCTTTATCCCTTATACCTCAAATAAGTATGGACTTATAAATAAAGCAGCAATAAACTACGAATATTTTTGTAAAAAACGACTACGTTCAGTCCACAGCTAAAACAAAAAAAAACTGAATAACTTCTATCTGAAAATTTAACTCATAATAAATTACCCAGAAAGCACAAAAATTAAAAACTTTTCAATAAACCATCACTGATTTACGCTTTTCAAAGTGTTATTCAGCAATTAAATTAATCTGAAGTCTGACAATTGTTTTGCATTAATTTTATCCGGTATTATTTTATTCTCGATTTAGATTTGCAATATATTTGAAATGTATTGAACTCTTTCAATTATACTTCGATGTATGTATACAAAGGGAACAAAACGATTAGGCTATTATCGCTGGCGTGTAAAATAATG